TGCTGAAATTTTTAACTTAGTCCGGACAAATGATGTGAATAGCTGACAGTGGCGTATTTTGCATTCTAGGGTTTTTTTAAGTTGAATTTTAGTTTCTTACTTAATAAAACGTTACTAAAATAATCATACTCCTTACTAATATTATAAATTCGAATGTTTAGATGGATGAATGTTTGAAAGTATCTCCAGAACGGCTGAACGGATCTCGATGAAATTTGGCATACATATAGAACATTGTCCGGAAGAATAAACTACTAATTATGTCTTTTTGTTCCTAGCGGACGAAGTCGCGGGTGACTGCTAGTTTTGTGTTAAATCCCGTGTGTTTTTTGGACCATTAACTCTAGATATTTGTCATTATTGTCACTTTAATTAACTATTTATACTGTTTTGTAATATGTTACCGTAAAATTGAAAACATCGTTAGATTTACAATCTCACAGTTTTAAACTGTCGTAAAATTACAAACTTAAGTAACGATTTACAGTTATACATTAATATATGGTTTTTAAACTTTGATTTTATTGTGTCTTATTTTATACATTCCTAACATACGAAACGAAAGAAAATCTTACAGTAGGCTCCGAGCCTCTCAGTGATAACGTGTAGTGAGGTGAATATGATGAATATATGAAAATTTTTGATCGTTTGTTACGACTAAAGTTTCGGTTCAATTAAATTTCACGTTGAACTAATAAAAATAAAGATTAAATAGATCCGTGTGAAAGTTTCAGTTAAAAAAAGGATTGCGAGCATACAACTTTGTAAAAGCAACCTTATAGTTTGTACTAAAAGAGTTATTTTAAATTAACATGATCTTGCGTTCAACAGGTGATAGTCGGAACACGGAAATCTTTTGCACTTCTGTGAACTCTTTTTCTAATCGCTTTTAAGTATTTTTTACAGATTATTGTAAAAACTTTATGATACTTTGTAATTTCATATAAATGTTGGTGATATTCAAAAATTTGGTTATAAAAATCCGATTTTGGTGCACTTTACGCCCGATAGAGGCGCTGCACAAATTTCAATACATATTTGTTGATGACGATAGGATGGCGATTGTCACAAATATTCTGGCTAGATCCATAGTGTCCAAAGAAATTGTACTTTTCCTAAGTGAAGATTTCTTTAAAATAATTCACAAATTACGAGCAACTGATCCAATTACAAGCCTCCACATAACTTTAAGTCCTTGAAAATAGTCTTAATTGTCGTACTCAGAGTCGTAAAGTTGACTTCTTTAGTGTAGTAATTAGTACACAAATCTACTGATCATTAAACCACAGCAAGATTAAGATTGCCTTATCATGGATTTCTGAGACTTAAATCTCTATAAATCATATCGTCATTCTTTGTAAAACAATATGTTTTAAATGAAAATGTTGGTCTCAGAAACCCACGGTTAAAAGATTAATAAAATATGAATCATACCTTATGTTTTAGTAGTCGTCAGCGTTCCGGTGAAAGGAAGCTCATGTCGAATCGCAGCATACGCGCCATGATCAGTATACTTGTGGTCTCCGCGACGTCACCGAGAGGACTGACTGTTGCTGGACAGCAGACAGCTCACGATGGTGAAATGGGCGTGGCAGTAAGCTCCGCCCATCCGCAACAAGTTGCAGCCCTCTTGACAGGATCAGGGATTTATTAGAAATCCTAAGGCCATTTACACACTCTTGGACATGATATTAAATTGAGGAATATTATTATGTATTCCTTAGTAAGGGATAATTAAAATCTTTGTAATTTGACTCTGAGACTGATCAACTCATAGAAGAAGTACCCAGCCACTTTATTTTTATGCTACTGAAATGTTTGACTACTAGTCGAATGTAAAAACAAATGTTTCAACAACAAGGCATCTTCTAAACTTATAATAGTATTAAAATGCAATAAAAACTTTCGTCTGGTTACAAAGTTAACATAGTACCCTGGCTAGAATATGTATTTTTTTGGAGAGATCATCAACTAAGGGGCTCAGAGTCTACCCTAAGTTAGTAGGCCATAGTTAATTACGCTCGCCTAATGCGGGTTGACTTCACACATATCTTTTGATTTTCTTTGCAGATATGTGCAGGTTTCATCACGATGTTTAAATATTTGATATTAAAAAGCCGCAACTATTAAATGTTAACTGTATATTTCTCTGCATTTTAACTATTGAGTACTGTTTCTTATTTTTCAAATACGAATTATTTTACGATTATTTTTTTTTCTAGTTTTATTCCTGAACGTGGTCTAAGAGTTTGTAGTATCGATGACACGCCTACATCCCGGCCTGTGATCTTCACAGATTGGACCAATCATCTGGGGGCCGCAGTTTTTCTCCCCCGGGGTCCGCATTGTCTTCTAATGTTGATTGCGAGTCTATGTAGCTCTTGAATAAATGTATACTTTTAAATTATTCAACATTTTCAAGTTAAATAAGAAAAAGCGTGAATTTAAAATTGAAATCTTTGACTTAATTGTCATGTTAAGAAAAATTGTCATGTGAAGAGTGGTAGAACCCGCTTTAACATCTTCGCACGAATTGGCCAGGTTCGCCCGGTGAAATACCACCACCACACAGAAAACAGGCGTGAAGTGGAGAAGAAATTCCGCGTTTCATCTGATGAGTGTGCGTCCCGGAGGCCTAATTTAGTCTTCTTTCCCTTCCCACCCTTTACTTATAATGAAAGGATGGGAAGTGGAAGTGGACTTTCCGGATGAGAGGATGCATGGAAAGGGAAAATATTTTCTTTCTGTGCATCCTCTTCTCCGTCGATTAAAGGTAGGCAACGCATATGCAATTGCGTATGTCTATGGGCAACGGTCACTTCGCTATTTCAGCGATTTCGGTGGCCGGTCGCTCTTTTGCCACCTTCTGATATAAAAAAAAAGTTACTTCAAGTATATCTTAAATTGATTTAATAACTTAAAGGTGAGTTTTTATGTGTTTGTTAAAGGCACCTAAGGAATTGCAAAACCGTCATTACTCTTGCAGACCTTAAGTTTAAGTTAAATTAAAAAAATACCAAATTAAACAAGCGATATGAAAATATTTTAATATTAACTGCCACCCGCGACTCCACGCGAAATTAAAAATAAACTTTGTACCCTATGTGTCCTTTTAGTTTGGGTTTTACATCTATACCAAATTTCATCGAGATCAGTTGAACCTTTCTGGAGATACCTTCTAACAAGCCATTCATCTGTACATTCGCATTTATATTATTAGTAAGACTATTTTACTTTTTTAATCACCAGAAAGAGCATCGTAACACACTAGGCTACACACCAGCAGGTTCATTCGTGAATTTGAATTAATACGTGCCCATTTTATTATAGTTTTAACAGATCTCTTTTATATGTATAAAGACGATATGGCTATGCGAAAGATAACAGCCCGCATACCGTCTGACCGTCCCCTTATCTTTAACATTTTAAGTTAAATTTTCAAACAACGTTAAATTGAAATCACTATTGCTCATACGTACTTATTAATAAGACCTTTATCCCTAAAGAAATGCGTCTAATATTTTTTTAGAAGGGGGCAAACGAGCAGCGGCCACACTGAGGTGTTCAACGACGCTCCTGGACATCAACAATACCAGAGGAACCGCAGATGCGTTGCCGGCCTTTGAGATGGTGATAAGCTCGCTTCTTGAAGCACCCTAAGTCGTAGCGGTTTGGAAATATTTGTGTTATTAGTACTATATCGACCAGGCACGGAATAGTCAACCTTTTTTACCTTGTACAAATCTAACATAGGCTTAAACGTATTCATTTGTCGAATATATAGGACTTCCAACGAATTATACATAGAAAATTTATTGCGACTCTTTACACAAATTAAAAAAAAACTAATTTCTTTACTGTCAGAGGCAAAGACATAAACTTAATTCTGTTCTGATATATAAATAAATAAGTTTTTAAGACTTTATGTAGAGTTAGCGTGTCCAAACTCTTTCCTTTATGTTCTTATTATCATTTTTAAATGCTAGAGTAAAGATTTCCTAGAAAATGTCTTTATAGTATATATGTAACTTTATTTTGGTAATCACGTCGAAGCGTATATCAGAAATTAAAAGTTACAAAACAATAATTTTGTAATAAATAAAAACATAGAGAATGGTATTTAGAAGGAAAGCTGACGATGTCGAAGGCTGTATTTATTGTAATAACACAATTGTGTTTGCTTAAAGTGTTGCGAGACAGTGATTAAATCTAATGGATACAGAGGTTTGAAACATTTTAATATTTGTATTCATTTAAAAAAAAACAACTTGTGTTCCTTGCGATATGTAACTTTGTAAAGGTTATTTTCAAAGGATCGAGCGTCGGTGGCTCAGGAGTTAAAGCATTTGACTTGTAATCTACAGGTCCTGGGTTCGAATCCCACCATGTACAAATGTGTTTTTCGATTTACGTATGTACATTTTTCCGACGTTCTTACGGTGTAGGAAAACATTGTGATGCAACCTGCACATATCTGAGAAGAAATTTAAAGATATATGTGAAGTCAAATCGCACTGGGCCAGTGTGGTTGACTATGGCTTAATCACCCCTAACTTTGGTAGGGTCTGAGCCCCTCGGTGGGGACGTATAGTTGACGATGAAAGATAATTTTATGGTTATTTCTTACTAATATCATAAGTGCAAATGATTAAGGCTGAATGGATCTTGATGAAATTTGGTATACATATAGAACATAGTCTGGAAGAACACATAGGATACTAATTAAGTTTTCTTTTAATCCCCCGCGGTTGGATTCGCGGGCGACTGATAATAGAAGTCGAGGAATGTAGGGATGTATGATCTAAAATTTATATTTCTAGACAAAAACTCCTAAAAGCTTTTCTTGTATTAAACGTTGTTGATTGGACAGCTTCCTGACTGTAAAAGAGGTAACAAAAAATGTTTCGAACATCTGGAACAAATAATTAAAGAAAATCAAATTAAACTCAATTGTTTCGATGCGAGCTTTTCTATTCATACAATACGTTAACACATCAAACATGACGGTCATCGTTGATAATATAAACTTGTCAGTCCGTGTGTCGCTGACAGTATTAAGATTAGTCGGCTTCTGGGCGCCTGAGGGACTGACTGAGCGAGGAAAATGGTGGTACAATGCCTATGGTTTTTTCTGCTTTATGTTTCTTTTGGGTAAGTTACAAAAGCGGTCTTCGACGACCTTTCATAAGTATTACTAATATGATATTTGTCATGGGACTGTAATAAATGAATCATAAAAACAAATAGAGTGTTAAGTGATCACTGAATAAGATAAATACAACACCGACGGCACAGAAAACGCGGCGCATCTTTAAGTTTACTAAGGCCCGGATAGGTTTTCTACGGCGCTCTTCTTTTCTTTTTTAGACATGTCTATTTCTTTTTTAGATTTCTTATGTTAGACATTAATTCGTGGAGTTGTAGCGCCACTTTCTGTCTAGCGCGGTCGTACAACTGCCTTAATCTAATATCGGGCCTGAGACATGAATTTGAGAGGCCAAAAGTTTCTCTAAAACTGCATTGAACACCACTATCAAGGTGTGACTGATGCATGGAGCTGTCGTGCTGTAGACGAAATTAAAGCGTACATAAAGACATTTGTTGTCATTGTATATTTAATATTCAAAATTATTATTAATAAACAGGCACATATATTATAATACAAGTTGTGGATTTATTCTTGATCTGGGGCAACCTACCGTTGATGACGGAGACGGCTTTTGTGCTGTTCACAAATCTAGCGCAGGTGGTTAAGTTCGTCAACCTGGCGGTGAGAGAGAAGATGGTACGGCAGATCATTAATGATGCAGATCAGATTCTACGAAAAGAGAATACAGAAGAAGGAAAAGATATTGTGAAGCAGTAAGTTTTGGTATTCATTACAGTGGTAGACACCAGCATAAATTCTGTTGATAAGTCGGCTCATCCGGTACAATACCACGACCACACAGAAGACAGGTGTCAAGTGCAAGAAATTACTCGTGTCATCTAATGAGTGTGTGTTCCGGAGACTTGATTTTAGTCCTCTTTCTCTTACCACACTCTTCTTATAAGGAACGATAACGTTAACTTATAAAAACGATAAGTGTATTTAATATCAGAGGGGACGCATAGGAAGAGGAAATATTATCTTTCTGTGCGTCTACTCCTTCACCCATTAAAGGTAGGCGACGCATCTGTAATTGCAGATGACTATAGGAACCAGTCGCTTTATTATTTCGGTGAATTCATGTGACTGGTAGTTCGTTTGATACCTTTTAATAAAAAAAATCAAGTATATTATTCTGTGTTTATGTATACAGATGCAATCGTGAGACTGCGGTATTGCAGTTCTTTTATATGGGCATAACACTTGTGACGATGATCGGCTGGGCATTCAGTGCTGAGAAGAACAAGCTTCCTCTCCGTGCTTGGTACTAATTATTATTTAATTTGAATCATTTATGGCAAATTTACAAATTACATTTTTAAATGTTGAATGTGCTCTGTATTTAAGTGTTCTCTTTTTAATGTAAGGCTTCATTTAGAACAGGTTTTATTGGATTTTTCTTGTCACACCAGGTACCCATACGACACCCGTCAGTCTCCGGCGTACGAATTGACGTACTTGCATCAGGTGGTGGCTCTGTGCGTTGCGGCCAACCTGAACGTGGGCAAGGATTCGTTGGTGACCACGTTGCTCGCCCAATGTCGTTGCCGTCTTCGTCTCCTGGCACTCACCTTGAGGAGTTTGAGCCATGATTTGGATGTTAAAGGAGATGTGAGACATTAAGATGGAATTAATTATGCGAGATGTTGGTAGATATTGGAAGTGTATTGGGATGAAACCTGAAGCACATTGGGAACAAATAATAAACAATTTTGTTAAGTGACATCTAGTGAAAGCTTATAGAAAACAAATTTTCTTCATTCTACTGCCCGTACAATAGATGGCGCTGTACTATATTAAATATTTTTTGTTTTTAACAGCGTCTTACAGTTAAGCAAGAGGCGGTTGTGACAGCTAGACTACGTGATTGCGTTCTGCGTCACCAGGCGGCGCTGCATGCAGCGGTACAACTGCAGACCTGCTTCTCGGAGCCGACCTTCGCGCAGTTCACGGTGTCCCTCGTCATCATTTGCGTTACAGCTTTCCAGCTAGTCTCTGTAGGAATTAGCATAATTTATACATGAAAGCTTTAGTCCTTTGAAACTTTTATTAATATTGAAAGAAAAATCTGTTTCCAGCAAGTTGGCAACGTGGTACGTTTTTTGTCTATGGGGACGTATCTACTGAATATGATGTTCCAGGTCTTCGTCTACTGCTACCAGGGGAACCAATTGTCTGAAGAGGTATTCTACCAAAATTGAACTTTTTATGTAGATAAATATCACTATAAACGTCACACCTTTCAGATTAACAATGCTATTATCTCGTACATAAGACACTATTTACTTCATTAAGAGCTAAAACGCCTCCATCGCTTCCCTTCCGCCTCCCCTCCTGTATGCCCATTGGCAAATTAATAACATATATTTTGCTTCAGAGTGTAGGAGTTTGTGAGTCTGCATACGCCGCTCCGTGGCACACTTTCAGCACACCGCTGCGTCGCTCCCTGCTCGTGGTGATGTCGCGCAGCCGCCGCGCCGTTCGCATCTCCGCTGGGGGATTCACCGCGCTTTCACTCGCTTCGTTCACGTCTGTAAGTCTACCGAGAATTGTTGTTAGTTATGTTAGATTCAGACGAGCGCAGAACAGTGCTGTACTAACATTGTCTGAACCCATACTATCCTATCTGAACAATACTGTTTTGTCGTAGTATATAAAACTTTATAAGATTTTGAGATTAACTATTTGAATTTTCATGTGTGTAAAAAGCATTTTTTCCTTTTCAGATAATCAAGGCGTCGTACTCTTTATTCACATTGCTGCAGCAAGTTGAAGAAAAAAAGTAGAATTTGATTATTTTCATTTTGAAATAAAAAAAATATATAGATTTGTCGATACTGTTTTATGTTAATATTTTTTTAAACGTCAATGTAATATTTTACGAAAGGCATAGAAAATAATATAGGATACATATGTTGTACTCGTAAACGTAGTGTTTGCTTGGTTCGATTAAAAATGTGACAAAATCAAATACAGCAAAGTGGTGTTTAAATTAATAGCAAGTTGTTAAAGCGAGCGACACGTTCTAACCAATAATTATATAAACAAAGAGCAACGGTATCGCCAACATTTTAAATAGAATTAAATATATACATAGACATTATTAGTTGGAATCTTTTGGCGCGAATGGCGCGCTTTCGTTACCAAGTCAAGTGTCAGAATGATAAGTGAGGGGACATAAACATTTTAGTAAGGCTAGTATTGCAGCTGTACACCGGCACATTGTCGGATTTTCTTTCTAACAATACCTAAAACATTACGTTATAAAAGTGCAGAACACAAGAAACAGGGCTTATTCTATATTTGAAAACGCCTAGATTACAGTTTTTGATTGGTGATTAAAATATTTTTAGCTGTCAACTTTTGAATTTGCGGATAAAAAAAAAGGTTTGAAACACCTGCTTAGTAATAAATTAAAGTGTACCATCAAATATATAACGCGTTGCAGGAATATTGCACTTAATGTAGATTGAGGTGTCTACACGATGACTTCACTTGTCGGGAAAGTTAATTCTACCCTCAGAATTCCACTGACCTTATTCTTAGTGTTAGGTTTGTGGGCACCGAACCATTTCCAAGGGTTACGAAAGCGTCTATTTAATATTTATACCTTTTTCTCTTACATGTTCTTAGTAGGTAAGTTAAGAGTATCTACTAATATTATAAATGCAAATGTTTAAATGGATGGATGTTTGTTTGAAGGTATCTCCGGAACGGCCGAATGGATCTTGATGAAATTTGTCATACATATAGAACATAGTCTAGAAGAACACATAGACTACTCATTAAGTTCATAACTAATTAGGTGCAGACGGAGTCGCGGACGACAGCTAGTATTACTTAAGTCGCAGATTCATATCCTGCTAGAAGGACCAACTTGTATATTGAATTTGTTTCTTCTAGGTATTTACATCACTGTACAACTCGGTGATCTTTACAAAGTATGGGGTAATATATCTCTGATGACAGCTACCATGTTTCTAATCTTTACAAATCTTGCATTAAGTGGTAAATTCATAAATATTGTGTTAAGAAAGACGCAAATACAAAGCTTGATCGCTGAAGTGAAGGAGGAATTAGATGCAGAGACTAGAGAAGAGGGAATAACAATTATTAAAAGGTAAACCACATAGAGCTGGATGAGAGTGGCCGAGGATCGTGCTCAGTGGCGTGCCATAGGAGAGGCCTATGTCCAGCAGTAGACTAGTATAGGCTGATGATGATGATGAAACCACATAACTTTAAACATCCATCTGAAGATGTATACAAGATTGGTTGAATAAGGTCTGATGAAAGAGAAAAAGAGTTAAAAGAACAAGTGACTAAAAAATGACTAGATATCTTGGGTGTAAAAATTGGTAGAAGAATAGATAATTTTGAAAATGTTGTGTTTGACTAAGATATTATTGTTAGCGATAGAAAGAATTGGTAATTGAAAAATTGTCATCTGTTTTCTTTCTTAGTTGTAACCGTGAGACGACTATCCAATATTACGGATATATCTGGCTGTCTTACGTGACTATACTGGGTTGGGCTGCCAGTGCCGAGAAAAATCAGCTACCTTTGCGAGCTTGGTATGGAATGAGTTTCAAACTTAAAGCAACAGTGAGATATGTTAGAAAAAAGATACATATTAATATAGAGACAGATTCTGACTGCAGCTGATTTCTTTCTAGGTATCCTTATGATGTGTCTAAAACTCCTGCCTATGAGATTACGTACTCGCATCAGGTTAGTACGATTTTTATAACTAAGAATAAATTCTTCACAAGTTTTTTAATTACTTTAACAAAATGTCTTTCTCCATCTTTCTTCAACATTAACCTGTTTCATCGCAATGTAAGAGGTAAGACCTCGTGAACATTTAAGAATGTTTTTTCAGTGTATAGCACTCCTTATCGCTTCAGCACTGAATATCAGCATGGATATCTTGGCCACGACCCTCATCTGCCAGTGCCGCTGTCGCCTGCGTTTGCTGGCTCTTTCCCTCACCACGCTTTGTGATGGAGCACTGGTGGAAAACAAGGTATTATAAGAAGAAAAATGACTATGACTTTCATTTAACTGGGTGCTAGGTGATATCATTAGAGAATTGTTTTTTCATGTCATATGATGGTGATGTTTTAATTTTGTTGTGGTCATTTGTGCAGGGAACAAAAAATTACTCAACATATCTGTTTTATTGAGACCTAAATACGTTCTGTTTGGAACAAAATCCGACATTGTGCCGGCGCATCACTAGACCTATTTAAATATCAACGCTTACATCCCCTCACTAATCGATTTGACACTTAACTAGGAAAGCGCGTCATTCGCTCCAATTGATTCTAACTAATATTGTCTTAAATTTAGTTGATTCATTTAACCATTGTTTCTTTAGAGTCATGTTTCATGTAATGAAGACGTAGTAATGTCCCGTCTACGTAAATGCGTCGAGCGCCACCAGTCGGCGTTGGAACACGCTCGTCTTTTGCAAATCTACTTCTCCGCTCCGATCTTTGGCCAGTTCTTAGTATCTGTGCTTATCATATGTGCGACTGCTTACCAATTGGCCTTTGTAAGTACTTAATTTATATAAAAGCATTATTAAGGTACACCGCAAATTCCATGATGATAGTGAATATAAAATAGAGAGGCTATAGAAGGAACCAATTAAATGGAGAAGGATGGAGTCGTCTTTTCTTGACATGATGAAGGACTGTGATATTTAGCTATTTGATAATAGTATGTTTCTAGGAGTCATCAAGCCTATTACGAGTATTTGCAATGGTAGCATATTTAGTGGACATGATGTTACAAGTGTTTCTCTACTGCTATCAGGGGAATGAACTGCTCGATCAGGTAATTAATGTGTGCTTTTTAATTTAATACCTAAGTCAGCGCAAGAACATGAGGATATAAGTGATCAAGGGAATTCTAAAATAGATTACTTTTGATACTGTCGACTGACGGCCGTGTTCTAGTCAGCGTTGAATCTAAATTCTAAAAAAAATCTTAAATATAATACTTAGGTAGCCCTTAATTTGTATCGTATAATGTTTTTGGCCATTTTCAAATCATCTTTATAGAAAATCTCAAGATATGAGCTAACCTGCTAACCTATATGAGCTTTCTGAGACTTTAATATCTGTATAACTTAACTTTGCCAAACAGAGATGACAATATATTTTTATCTCTGGTTGAAGTTTGGTCTCAGAAACCACTATTAGTCTTATAAATACCGTTTTCAGAGTGAGAATATAAAAGAGGCAGCTTACGCGTGCCCGTGGTACTACTGCAGCACCCCAGTGCGGCGCGCGTTGCTCCTCCTCACCACGAGGAGCTACCGGCTTGTCAGGCTGAGAGCAGGAGGGTTCACTGAACTCTCCCTAGCTTCGTTTATGGGAGTTAGTTGTTATTTCCACTTAGCGACTAGCTGTGTGGCTTTGGCCGCGATGGTTATAGGACTTTGTACAAATGACGGTCGCGTGCATTTAACCGCTAAAGTCTAAATTTGATCCTAACGATATGCTTATAAAATTTAAGGAGGAACTTTTTATGTGCGCATTTCTCACAACCTTTCTTCTAGATGAACCTAGTATAGCACAATTGTATGCATACAATTTTACTAATATTATAAATGCGAATGTTTCTATGGATGGATATTTGTTTAAAGGTTTAAGGTATGTCTCAATGGATTACGATGAAACAGTCTGGAAGGAGACATAGGTTACTTATATATATTTTTTAATTCCGTGCGGATGGATTTGCGGGCAAAAGTGTTATATAATTGCTTGCTATTTTAGATTGAAATAAATAGTTTAATTACGTTTGAATTTTCAGATAATCAAAGCTTCGTATACATTCTTCACAGTACTTCAACAAGTGGAGGAATAAAGGATTTCATAAGTGAAATAAAATTAAATTGATTCTTATAATCAGCACCATAAATTATAAAGTAGTTTGATTTTCTCTCATAATATAAACTTGCATTCAGCAGTAAAATTAAAGTCTTCACTTACGTTCGAAAGCGATTAGATACTGCCCTAGTTCTAACCGAAAATATGTCATCTAGCGCTCCGCCGACGTTAATACTATAGCGCGACAGGTTCCCGAAAAACCAATGATTTTGGACTCCGGATGGAGTATATCCAAAGTTAAAACTTAAAGGAATTAACCAAGAGTGTAGTCTGCGGTTTAATTTAACACAACACGGGAAATATAACTCGGTTTGGAGACCGGAAAGATTGACAGATTAACAGCTCTTTCTTGATTCGATGGGATTTGTCTGTTTAATTCCAGTAACGAATGCGACTCAAGGCTGGTAAATAGGCTTCGTCATTTAAGTGTCCGTGGCTTGGTCGTAGTTGGTTGGTTAGTAGTTGCATAAATCAAGGAAATATTGGAACTTACTGATAATTTTATCAATGTTTAATCAATATATTACTTTATCAAGATCTAATAAATTAGGGAAGTGATGTTTGATGTTTTTATTATGCAAGTGAACGCCGCGTGGTTTCCGAATTTCAATTCGTGATTCAGATATTTATATTATACAGGGCGTTCGAAATTAGAACTTAAAGCATTACTTCACTTAAATAAAAGGAAACTTTGCGACAATTTATTTTAAAGAGTATTTAATATTTTTAAGGCTAATCGTCTTTTGTTGTACAATCTTTGGACATCACTGTTTTTTTAATTAAGTCTTAATCAGTCTGCTAATTATGTTATTTTTTTAAAGTATTCAATGAACGAGAGCGTCGGTGGCTCAGGGGTCAAGCACTTGACTTGCAAACTGCAGGTCCTGAGTTCAAATCCCACCATGTACCAATGTGTTTTTCTATTTCCGATTTACATATGTACATTTAACCGACGTTCTTACGGTGAAGGAAAACATCGTGATGCAACCTGCACATATCTGAGAAGTAATTCAAAGATATGTGTGAAGTCAGCCAACCCGCACTTGGCCAGCGTGGTTGCCTAGTCACTAGTGACTTAGGGTAGGCTCCTAACCCCTCGGTGGGGACGTATAGTGAGCTGATGATGATGCATGAATTACAACTTTACGCCGCAATTTATAGTGTAGTAAGAAAAACAAAAAGGTTACCGCCTTTATAGATTGCTTGATTAAAAATCTATTGTAAAATTATGATCTGTATAATATTAAAAGGTATAAAGATAAACACGAATCGAAGGCGTGTAGATGACGCTACATTATTGTAGGTTTTCATTGGCGAAAATATTATCGATAAAGGTATGTTTACATTGTAACATTTTTTAGTAAAATGATAGTTATTTACATACGTTATTTGCTTTATTGCATTTTTTAAAGCATTTGAAATTATTATATTTGACCTTTTTATTATGTATTTTTTAAATTGAAAATAACTAGAGGCATATTTGTAATTTTTTTTAATATTTTACTAATATTATAAATGCAATGCCTTGGATATGTATGTAGATGGATGGATGAATGGATAGAGCTTTGTTAGATGATATATCCAGAACGGCTACATGGATCTCTCTAAAAATTTGTATAGATCTAGAACACAGTCTGGAAGAACAGATATGCTACTAATTATCTTTTTTTAATTCCTTGCGGACGGGATCGCGAGCGACAGCTAGTTGCTTAAAACGGACGAATGGTCGGGGATTTTCCAGCATTTATACGTTAAGCATTATTTGCTTAAAACAGCTCTAAATATGTGAAAACTGTTTTCACCTTGAACTTTTTGTCTCAGCCATTGTTTAACAAAGAACACTTCACTTCGCACGTAAGTGTTGAATTATATTGCAAGTAACAGTTCCGCTAAGGTTAGCGTGTTCTATGCACGTGTCACAAATCTTGTGTGCACGTTACAAATTAAATATATGAAGAAATTATCTCGTGATTAAGTTTTAAAAATAAAAAAATGTGCCGTTCAATCTCAAGTGAACAGAGAATGTGTTAATTTAAATAATTTTAGAACAATCGAATAAACAAATCTGTTTTTTTTTTCAAAGAAAACTACGGAACCAAAATGAATAACACTGTCATTTAACAATAAAACAATTGTGAAATCACCCTTAAATATTTATAAGAAAAAAGATAAGTGAAAAACTATAAAAGGTTTAGATTGACGTATTGATAATGGCTTGGCTAGGAAGATGTGTAACATGATCATAAGTTTAGTCCTCCTCTGTGTGGCGGTTAGTGTCTATGGCCAGCGGGATTGTTACTGGAACGCGCAATGCCCATACCTCCTCTACTCCACGAAGACACCCTATGACACCATCCGAGGGGATATAAGAGACCAACCAACTATAGATAGTAAGGTTTATTAATAGTTAAATATGTTTCACTAATTCTTAGGCTCCTTCAAGAAGCGAGCATGCCATTTCCTTAAAGGCCGGCAACGCATCTGCAGTTAATCTGGTGTTGCAGATGTCTATGGGTGTCGTTGATCACCTCGGTGTTTCCGCTACTCGTTTGCCCCTTTTCTTATAAAAAAAAAACCATAAAAAAAGGTCTTGACAGACGTACGAACGGACAATAAAGTGATCTTATAAGGGTTCCATTTTTTCGTTTCGAGGTAAGGTACCCTAATAAGTACGAAGCGTGAAAACGAAAGCCAGGCGATAAGTCAAATATGCTTTATCCTCCTCTCTCCCTAATCAATTTTGTTAGACTTTTTAAATGAAAAGACAAAAAAAAAGAAAAAGGCTAACAGAGACGATTAGAAAGATTTTAATAATTTTCTCCAGTTGCATATCAGACAATCTCTTCACATCAATATTCTATATACTCGTATACTTGTTATGTATACTTCCTTTCAGTCTAGATCTCTAGTTACTTAAATATTTACAGATTATTAGTTCTACTTGTCTAAAAGCGTTATTCTCTTTAGATTGTCAAGCCGTGAGCATCTGGTCTTTGCACCGGCATGGCAACCGCAACCCGGGCTCCAGCGTCACCAACAGGATCAAAGTGGTTGCCGGTCTTAAAGATGAGATCATACAGAGCTTTGAGAATGGCAGGGGACAGCTGTGCTCACAGGTATGTCAATGGAAAATATACTGATAAATTGAAGTATTTACTATAGAAAACATTGTTTTAACCTTAACAAGCACTAGTCGTAAAATTTAAAAAAAAAATGTTGTTATTCTTAGGACATTGATAAATTCCGCAATTGGAAATGGAATGAAACCCTTGAAGTATCCCAGTCTTTCCTAACCGGGACTGGTTATGAAGAGATTTACGATATTGCCAAACGTCTTCGTGAGAGATATCCTCACTTGCTGCGGGGATCTGATGACGATTACTACTTTAGGGTCACCAATGAGCAACGGACTGTCACCAGTGGCATGGCTTTTGTCCATGGTTTAGCGGAAGGAACAAATCTTAATCTAACTGTAGACGGACCATATGAAAGGGATGACTTAATAAGAGTAAGTGTAAAGAATACCGTTAATTTTAAGATGTTACTTATTTCTTTATCCAACTGCAACACATTACAAGAATCTGAACTGCTCTCCAAAAACATCCAATTATTGTTCCTTTACTTGTTTGTGACCTTCTAAACGTTATTTAACATGATCAATATATTACAGCCGTATGAGAACTGTGATAGATACCAGCAGGAGGTGAAAGGAGGTCCTCAAGTAGAGGCCGAACTTGAAGCGTACTTTGAATCAGCCGAATATAAAGACGTGAGTTTTCTTAATCTCTTTATCTAAATCACTGAGGAAATAATCATTAACGCAGACTAAGTAATACTTGAATTCACTTGTACTAAAATAAACCTCATACATTTTCTAATGTTTTATTGTTTACAGGTTCAGAACAATGTTCAAGAGCGCTTGGGTATTCAAACTCTATTATCTGCAGAAGATGTGTATTCTATCTATGAGATATGTCGCTTCTACCGATCTTGGACGGATACCAAACAGTGTCCCTGGTGCTCTGCCTTCTCCGACCAGGATCTTATCGTCTTGGAGTACAGAGATGATGTACGGCATTATTACAGGAATGCATACGGGTCTTGGGTAAATATTTGATTTTATAACATAGCAGCGTGTATGATGCCTGTTCTATTTCTCTCGGTTGCTTTTATCGATACAAGTTGGTACATACTTATTATATCTGTTCATGCTCCAATGCAAAAATATAATTTAATGAAAATGTGTATAAAACGGCCTTTAACAATAACATCCTTAGATGAAATCAGAAACGGACTGTAAAAGAAGACGATGAATTGGGTTTTTATTTTTGTAAGGTACCCGGAAGTATTGGTGAAAATCTGGTTAAAAATCTTTACGAGAACTTCGAAGCTGCAGTCAACGGGACAGGAAAGAATATTGTCTCCTACTTCAGCCATGACACAATGATGGAGATGGTCTACTGCGCTCTGGGACTCTTCAAAGATGACGCTCCAATCAGGGGAGCAGTCAGGAATCCAGATAGACTATGGAAGACCAGTTTTATCGCTCCCTTCTCCGTGAATATTATTGCTGTTTTAAATACGTAAGTCTGACAAATCTTATCTCTTCTAAATCTCAATTTTTCCAACAGTTCAATACATCTTATGATATTGTTAAATTTGATTAACTCTTTCTTATTTAGAAGTGGTTCAAATTCAGTTAGTAAGAATTTTGGTTAAATCTAAGGAACCAATTCTTTTACATCAATCAATATTAATAAAAAAAAATTCAATTTACGTTTAGATTTAGAAAAAGAAAGAAAAAAACGGAACGCTTTTAGGTTCACTTTGTTGTCCATCCGTCGGTCTGTCAAATTTTTTATGGTTACCTTATGCCCGAATTCTGAAACGTCACTCAAATATCTACTTTCGTAAGCAGTGCTTATAATTTAAGAGACGTCAAAACTTAAGTGGAATTCACAAACGCAAATCAAGACA